TCTCTCTGGCCAGAGAGGAGGTTATCTTGGGGCAGGCATGTCTCTGGTTGGGGAGGAGTTTATCTTCATGTTAGAATATTTCTGGTCAGAGATGTCATTTGTGGTTTATGGTCATGCTGACATTAGCCATTAGGCCGATGCCCTTTGGGGCGCTTTTTGGGTAGTTGTAAGTGAAATGTCCATGACCCTGTCAGTTAAAAATCTTTCAAAAAGATTAATTAGGCAGGGTAAGAACATTAGTCCTAGGCATATTAGTAGGGGAGGGCCCAGGAATGGGATGACCCATGCTATGGTTTTGTTTCCAAACCAAGAATCCATTTGGTTGTTTTGGAATTCCCTTAGCTTTTTTGGCCCTTTCTTTTAAGTTATTTAGCAGCATTTCTAACTAGGCCCGATTGGTTGAGATAGAAGCAACATTCCTTACCTAATAAGAGGCAGAGGCACATGTTTGGAAAGGGCCATGTGTTATTTTCTGCTAGTAACCATTATTAAAAAATAAATCATGGTAGGAATGGTTTGCTTTATTATACTTGGTTTAATTATTTGCATACAGTGCAGCAAGAATAATTATTTGTTACATAGGCTTTTTAAACTGGCATTGATGGAATTTTGTTCCATAGAAGGAATCTGAGATAAGGCCTTTTAAAGCTGAGCCCAGTCATGGAATTGTACTATTAAATACCTATGAGTTGGGTGAATTCCTCTCCTCTTGAGGTTCCAAGATAATTTGGTGGTCCTGGCCTGTCAGAAAGTAATATTCTTTACTTACCACAGGTCAGAAACCCTGTACAGGGACTGTGCACATAAAATATGAGGCCAGTTTCCCAAGAGCTTTATTGGCCCCATAAGTCAAGTTTGATTCCTTAAAGGAGAGCACACCATTCCAGTCAAAGCCTTGGTAAAACAACCAGTTTTTCAGATTGTGTTCTGTTACAAAATAAAACAGATTCTTATTGCACTTATGCAAGTAACTATATTACCATAACTTAAAAATCCTCAAAAAGTCAAAAAGATTACTTTAGTCTCTAGAGACCAAAAACAAGACAACAATTGTTTACGGATGACAAAAAGTTTTATGGTAGCCACAGTTAAAGTCACAATTGACAAGAATATCTGTTACCTTTGTGGCATGCAATAATTTTAATATAACAATTAGAATTAATACTGATAACATACCCTAAGATAAATCAGAAATATAGGAGTCTCTTATAACTTTGGAACACATACCAATAACATATTTATACAAATATAGCCCAAAGAAAGTCAAACACCATTTTATATTTGACAATGCTTCCTGTATGATTTTATACCAAATAAGCCAAATTTTACCTTTATATTAGTGTGCTATTAATGTTAAACTCAATTTTTAATAGAACCTTGTAGACACATTTACCCAATTTTAATATTTGACCATAAGGTAAGATTTCTATAGACCCTTTTTAACCCTTTATAATTTTTGTTAAAGAGCAGGTTAGTGCTTTAAGAGAAACCCATTGTGCTTTCATTTTAATGTCAGTTTACAGAAAAAGTAGACGATACCCCTTCAACTTTAGCCAGCATATTACACACAGAATTTCCTTTACAATTAACCTTCAAAAACTTGCTTAAACCTTCATTTTTATTTTATTCAACTTAAAACAATTCTTTACCTTTTTAATCTAGGTAAAAATCCACATTCTCATGCCTCCTTATAATCTTTTTACCAAAAATATATGTAAACTGTTTTTTCAGTAGTTTTAAATATATGTTACACTGTTAACTTTTAGCAACCTTTACTTTTGTTGGTAAGTTTGGGATTTTAATTATGTACTAGGTGGAAAGCTTAGGACCCAGACAGAAGTTCAGATAAGGTCTGACTTATTCCAGCATTTAACTCCATGTGTCCTAGGTCTTACCTAGCTGCAAAGCAGGCAAGTTGTACAGCTAAGAGTTATATGGCATTTTATAAAGCATTCAGGAGGCCTAATCACTTTTAAATTGTACAACATTTCTTGCATAAATTCCCTTTTATAAATTTTTTTATGACTTACATGGAAAATCTCTGACGTGCCTCAACTTTGATGTAAACATCTCTCTCTTTAAACAACCAGTTAATTTACTTTAGGACAAGAATTTACCATATATGATTCCTTTTAATATACATTCTCTTTTCTTTAATATCAAAGATGAAAACAGTCCATTCGCAAAACAAACTTCCTTCATGTCTGTGGACTAGACTGCCTAAGGCCACAAGATTAGAAGTTAGGGTATTTCACTAAATAGTTCAAGATGAAGCTATCTTTATTAAACCAATATTAATGTTTCATTTATTAAAAAGTTACACAAGCAAAGATTATTCTGATTGGGCTGAGTTATAGTTTTGTAGACTCTATGCAAAATTTTGCCACCTTATAGTATTTGACAGAGATAAGTTTGAAATTGCTTGATTAATAAATGCAAACAAAAAATAAATGTATGCGGGCAACTCTCAAAACATTTCAAATTTTACTGTACCAGTACGTTTTAAAGATTAAAGTCATGTGGACTGAAAGGTCCTACAGCTTTTACTTTTCCTTTGAAAATATTTGATTTAAGCACTTATTTTTCTTAGGGCAGTTAATTAGGGCTTTTCAAATAGACATTGCACACCTAACACATATATAGCCACACAGACAATCAGAAGAAAATCTAGTAGTTATAAGATTTTTTTTCCAGTTTTCCAATTGGATTATTGGTCTTTGGGTGAGGCCCTTTAAGAACAGGGCTAGGAAAATAATTTCCAGGGCCTAATAAACAAGTATAGCTGGGAGACAAAGACAAATTTTGAGAGGTACTTATTTACCTCTAATTCCAAGGATTCCATAAGGAAAACAAAGGTTTTTCCCAAAATGAGATTTGGGGCAACTTTTGTTTTCCCAAGGAATCCCAGGCCACCAGAAGGTCACCAGAAGGCCTTTCATACTTGCACCAAGAGTGGCAAGAAAGAATGAAAAGTAATTCAGTTGACTGGGAAGAAACGTTTTCCAGGAAAACAAGATTTATGAAGAGAAAAACATAAAGGCATTTGAATATACTCATAGCTTGGACATCCATTTTAATTAAGCTGAGTGCTCTTTTTCATCAGGGGTGAGGGACAAGGTTAGAATTATATAGATAATATGCCAAGTTAAATTAAAGGATTGGGTTATGTGCAGGAATTCCCTGTGATAATGAGAGGATTTTCAGAGAAAGATCCAAGGTGCTGTTTAATCTATGACAAATCAGACATGGAGAAAGGGACATGAACACAAGCAATACCTTTAACCTCAGCCACTTCCCAGAGTAGGAGAAAGGCAGAGGTGGTTTGACTGGTTGGAGTAGGTTTTGAATGAGTAACAGGTGGAGAAAGAGGAGGAGTGGAGTTTGAGGCTGAGGGTTCAGACAGGCAAGAAGAGGATGCAGAGGAATGAGGATAGAGAGGGCATCCATCTGTAGGGTCAAAAGGGATTTCAGAGGAAGGGGTTTAGAAGGAAGGAATTTCAGAGGAAGGAGAAACCTGGGGAAGGTTTTTATTAAGACGAATTTCATGAGGGGTGCAAGCTTGACACAGAGAGGGTCAGGATCTAAGGTAGAAGAAAGCCTGAATATTCAGGCAAGAACCTCTTGCCATTTGCCATTCCTGGTTATAAAGTTGTCAAGGTCCCTGAGAATTTGAAAATCAGAGGTGCCATTTTCTGGCCGTTACCTGTCATTGTCTAATTTGTATTGGGGCCTGGCCACGTTGCAATAAAAAGCCAAACACTTTGGCTTTATGCTTCCCGTAAACCAAGTTTGGCAAGGCTGTGAAGGAGACAGCCCAGTGAAGAGGACATAGGAATGTTGGATTGTTGGGCACTCATGTAGACTGGTAAAAAGAAGCCTAGGGTGTCTGTTTTTGTCCTAGGTGTCCCCAGACAAAAGACAGACCCAGAATCCTCTTTCTAAAGAGGACAATTAAGCTGAGAAGAAACTGGGTGTCCCCAAGATTTCTTCTAGCCTAGTCCCACTGGTCCTCTGAGGATGGGGATGGCATTCCTGACTTTCCTGGGTACCATGAGAAAGCCAGGGGAAGGCAGATCTTACCAGTTGGCTGGATTAGTGTCCAATATTGGATGTTCCAGTTGGAATTGGCAAAGAGCCTCTTGAACTGGAGCCACATGAGGAAGAGAGAGAGAGAGAGAGAGAAAGAGAGAGAGACAGAGAGAGAGGAAGAGAGAGAGAGAGAGGGAGAGGAAAGGGAGGAGGAGGGAGGAGGAAGGAGGAGGAGGGGACAAGGGCTAGAGAGCAAAAAATACCCATTGTGGATGGTCAGAAGTGGATTCCTGAGACCTGAGAGTTTTGAGAGCCCACTGGAGAGTAGCCCCAGCTCAAGCCTCACAGTTCCCTTCAGGTTAGTTGTCCTGCTCATGTAAATCACTTGAAAAGTGAAGTAAGAGGCAAGACGGGCTGGTTGGCCAGAGACTCTCAGGATCCAGCAGGACGAGCTGCCACTGCCCACTGCTTCCTGGGTTGCAAGAGAGCCTCTACCCACAACACCCATCCTGGGTTTTGGCACCAAATGTAAGAGTTAAAGAGGAAAGAAACATGATTAGTGGCTTAACAGTCAAAGACAGGTTTATTTTGGAGAATCAACATGAGAGGGGCTTCTGGTCAATTTCGGTCAGGACCACTCTCTTTTACAGACTAAGAGCATTTAACAGTTTTAGGGTGAGAGAGCTTATCACAGACTTGGAATGTTTCTGTATGGAGGAGAAGTTTATTGTGGGGTTGGAATGTCTCTGGTCAGAGGTAAGGTTATCTTGGGGCTGACATCTCTCTGGGTGTAGGGGAGGTTATCTCAGGGCAGGCATGCATGTCTCTGGTCAGGGAGGTTTTATTTTCATGTTGGAATGTTTCTGGTCGGAGACGTTATTTGTGATTTATGGTCTTGCTGACATTAGCCATTAGGCTGATGCCCTTTGGGGCAGTTTTTGATTAAGGGGAACTTTAAAATGCCAGTGCTTGTCCAAGATGATGATACTCCTACCCTGTCAACTACTCTCTTGTGATTACCATTTGCATGGGATATCTTTTTCATTCCTTCACTTTCAGCCTATGTGTGTTCTTAAATCTAAAGTAAGTACCTTGTACATAGAACATATTTGGGTCTTTTTTTTATCCTTTCAGCCACTCTATGTGTTTTCACTGGGAGGTTTACTCGATTTGCATTTAAAGTAATTGTTGACAGGGAAAGATTTATTATTGCCATGTTAGTTGTTTTATGTTAGCCTTGTAATTATTTTGTCTGTCTTTTCCTCTCTTGCTGTCCTCCTTTGTGTTTTATTGTTTTTTGCATATCAATATACTTTGATTTTTAAATTTCTGTCTTTTGTGTAACTTTTTGGGGTTACCTTGGAGTCTACACAAAATATCTTGTAGTTATAACAGTCTGTTTTAAGCTGATAAGAACTTCAGTTTAATCACATACAAAAACTTTACCCTTTATCATCTGTCCCTACACACTTTATGTTATTTTTGTGAAAATTGGTATCTATTTTATGTTTTAAAACATATTTTAGCTTGTTATTTTTAATACTTTTGTCTTTTAACTTTTAACTAGAATTAAAAGTGACTTACTCACTAGCATTATAGTAATACAGTATCATGTGTGAATCACCACATGTATTATGTATGAATCACCACACTGTCTGTCTCTTATACACATCTAGATGTGTATAAGAGACAGTGCCTATGTCCTGAATGGTATTGCCTAGGTTTTCTTCTAGGGTTTTTATGGTTTTAGGTCTAACATTTAAGTCTCTAATCAATCTTGAATTAATTTTTGTATAAGGTGTAAGGAAGATATGTACTGGATCATTTTCAGCCACACATGAACATTGTATAATGGATTATATTATTTCACAATCTTTCTTATAGTTTAAATAAGATATAAGTTAATTCCGCTTACACAAAATAGTCTAGAGGTGGTGGGCAGCTCTGAAAATGAGGTAATCTGAGGAAACAATGTGCCCACTTATCATCCTCAATCCATGACTTCTGGTTCTGGGTCCAAAGTGGCTGCTCTGTTTTCAAGATAGAAGCAAGGATAGGATGGGTAGGAAGAGAAGCGGGAGAAGTGGGTATGCAATTCTGGGCAAGAGGCTTTATCTTTAAAGAGAGGATCTGAAAGTTGATCACATCTCCTCTGCTAACATCTTGGTGTTATTCTACTCTGTTGGTCAAAACTAATTGTAAGGAAAGTGAGGAAATGAGGTTTGTGGTGATATAGGAGTTAAGAAGAAATTACTTATGCGGATAGTGAGGTTACGGGGGTTCTCAGTAAGGTTTTCTATTTAATGAAAAGCAGTCCCCAAGTCATTTCCTTTTCTAACAAAGAGCAGCCTGTAAAATTGAGCTACAGACATAGACAAGCAAGCTGGAATCTTGGACAGGTGAATGCCGGCAGCTATGCCAATAGGCTACCTGTGACTAGGCATGATCAAAATGGTGGCTTTGTCTTTCATTCTTTTTGCCAGCTACGTGTACAGTAAGGAGGAGACAAAATGGCACTGGCCAAGTAGAAAGGCTATGTGCATAATAAGATTAAGGTGGAGCGACCAGCCTTCCCCACATACTATGTAAGCATCACATCTGGTCGAACCAATCTTTGGGCCCTGTGTAAATCAGACACTGCCTCCTCAAGCCTGCCTATAAAATCTGCTGCTGTCTACCACTCTTCCTTTTTTGGACACCTGTCTCTTGCAACAGAGACAGGCGTCTGTTCTTCTGCCTATTGAACTTTCCCCTTTTTAACACACCCACATGTGTTTGTGTCCTTAATCCTTTTGGTGGGAGAGGACGAACCCGGGTGTTTACCGCAGACAATGATGCTGTTTCAGTGGCTTAGTGGTCATGCACTAAAACTCAAAAGGTTCCGATACTGAAAAGAAAAATGGGGTAGAATATATACTGGAGGATAGTTAGCAGTTTCTAGCATCTTGCCTTGATCCATATCTCCCCTGAGCTACAATCCCAATTTTCTGTTCCCTTTTAGAGCAAATCTCTACAAACGTATTGTCTATACCCACTGTCTCTCATTCTTTGTTTTCTTGGTAAAATAACTAGAAATTAATTGAATAATTCTAAAAGATATTCTGGTATCTAATGGAGTAAAGAATAATAAAATATATAAAGACTTGATAAATCTATGGAACTATGATAATGCTTTAATCTGAGTATTCTAATCTATAAGCTTGAAATAAATCATTCAGAGTGTGTGTATATAAAACAGAAATTTTCATTCAGCTTTATATAATTAAAAAATAAAATTTAAATCAAATAAGTTTCATTGTGGCTGTTACCACAAATAGAATAATTATATGATATTTTTAAGTTTAATTTTAAAATAGAAAAATGTTATAATATTTAAAAAAATGTGGAAAAGTATATGATATCTGTGCCTTCCTACACTGACCCAATTTTCACTCCTTCCCTCTACTCCAAACCATCAGTAACTTCTTGCATACTTTAAGAGTTTCTTTCTAGATATAAATTAATACAATATGTATGTATATATGTGTATATATATTTATTTTTATTTTTCAATACAAAGGCCAGCATACAGTATACATTATTAGACATGTTTTATTTTTAATTAACTATATATGGAAGAATTTTTAGCCCATAGTTTTCTCATTCTATTTCTGTTTTCTTTTTTTGCAGTTGCATATTATTTTATTGCTTTGATAAACCATAATTTAGCTAGTCCTTGACCAACTATAACAAATAATCCTAAAATGAACAATTTTGTTCATATGGCATTTCATTTGTATGCAAGAATGTCTATGGAAAAACTTTGCATAAGTGGAATTTCTGAATTAATGAGTATGTGCATTTTTTTGAATTTTGATTGACATAGACATATTACTCTCCATAGAAGCAGTACACATCTACCTTCCTCAGAACTAGCAATGTATGAATGCTGAGCTTACCAATAGCATTGCCTTCAAGGTGTCACCAGATTTTTGGATTTCTGACAATCAAATATGTGAAAAATAACATCACAATTTGACCTTAATTAGTGTATCTCTTTTGACAAATAAAGGTGAGCATGGCTTCATAACTTAAGGGCCATTTATATGTTCCCTTCTTTGACTCTTTATGAGCTGCTTGTTCACATCTTTTACTAAATTTCTAGATTCTCTCTCTCTTTTATAGGCATTCCAGTGATGTGATTTGTAAATGCAGGTGTTTTGTTTCCAAGTTTGTTCTTCGTTTTTGAAATTGTGTATGGTGGGTTTTTTTGATTGTTTTTTTTTTTTTTTTTTTTTTGTTACTCCACTAAAGATTTTGCTTTAAATATATTGACTATATCAGTCTTTTATTTGCTGCCTTCTGGATTTTGAATTTTGGTTCAAAAGGTCTTTCCCACTCCAAATTTATAAATCTCATGTTTTCTACTTTCATAGCTTCCTTTTTTACACTTAAGTATTTAGTAAATTTTGAATCTTCCTGTAGGGCATGAGGAATGTATCACACTTTATTGTTATATAGATGAATACTTATCTGTACCAACATATTCTTTTCTTTTTGCTTTTTTTGAAGGTCCATACCCTACTAATTGTTTTGGGATGTTAATTTTATCATATGCAAAATTATCATATTTATTTACAAATGTTTTTGGCAGGACAACAGATGTGACCTCAGGATAAGATAAAGTCAAAATTTTGATTGCAACATCCTGCATTAAGATTCAGAACTATGTAAGGTATGTTTAGCAGGTTTTCTCAGGTTAAAAAAAAAAATGACTTCTAAGAAATTTAAGGGTGTGTCTTTTAGACCATATTTGCTAGACAACAGAAATCCTAATAATCCTATTCACAACAGCCTCACACATGGCCTAAGCTAGAGAATGGTCTTTGTTGGAGAGATTTGTAGGTGTTGCTTTTGTCTTAGGGAATAAATCTCACTGAGGTTCATAGGAAACTCATGAACTTTTAAGAGAATTGTATTAGTAGAAATATTGCCAGATTGGACTTCAAATGATAGAGACAATTCAAAATGAAAAGAGATTTTAGAGCCCTCAAACTTTATAGACAGGCAAAAGGCCGAGAACCCTTCTCAACTAACACATGTCCATTCTTGTGAAAAAGAAAGGATTGACTAGCATGTACAAGAAACCCAGACCAGCAGAGAACTACTCTGAGGAAGCAGGACTGAGCCCTGGTGAGAGAACTGGTGACATGTGCCTGGCTATGTTTCAGAATGGCTATGGACCAGTAACTCATATGTGCCTCCTGTTCTCTACCCTTTTAAGCAGGAATGTCTGTTACAGTTATCCTGTGACTCCTCCTAGCTGTGTGGTGGCAGATGACTTGTGTTTTTATTCTACAGGTCTTCAGATTGAGAGAAACTGTGCATTAGAAACTGCACTCAAGGAAGATGAACTCTAGGGACCTCAAATATACTTGGACATAATTTAGATGATAAGATCCTAGATTTCAAGCTTGAGAATGGTGCAGTATTGTAATGAGACATCAAATATTGGAAGGGACTATGCATGAGTGTATTTTGCACACAGGAGAGATGCAAATCACTGGGGCCCCAGAGGAAGATTATGGTATCTAGTTGCTGAAAATTGTTCCCCCACTGAACCATGCCTCATAGTATTCATGCCCTTGTGTAGTCTCCTCTCCTTAAATTTGGGCTTGCCCTGTGAATTGCACTAGATAAAAGGTATATGAGAGAAGTGATAATGCATGACTTTCAAAGTTAGGCTAAGAGGTGTTTTAATTTCTTCCTTGGTCCCCTGCAATGCCTGTATTTCAGACACACCCTCTTGGAATCTTGTCACCATTTTGTGAGAATCTGAATCACAAGGAGAGGCCACTTGTAGGCACCTTTGTTGACATCCCCAGGTGTTGGCTAGCATTGACTGCATGTTGTATGAGGAGCTGTCTTGGACACTAGTCAAGTCGAATCTGCAAAGGACTGTAGCCCTAGTCAACATCTGACTGCAACTGTGTGAGAGACCCATGGCAAGCACTTCCCTGAATTTTAAGTTTTACTTTAAACAACTTCAGTTTTTTTTTTTCTTTCTTTCTTTCTTTTTTTTTTTCCTTTTTAGAGACAGGGTC